CCTAATACAACAGTAGTGTTTTAAAATCCAATGAATAATTACACCTAATACAACAGTAGTGTTTTAAAATCCAATGAATAATTACACCTAATACAACAGTAGTGTTTTAAAATCCAATGAATAATTACACCTAATACAACAGTAGTGTTTTAAAATCCAATGAATAATTACACCTAATACAACATTAGTGTTTTAAAATACAATGAATAATTACATCTAATACAACATTTCATGTTTAATAGAGTTATATTAATTGACAGGAATATTTTATAGGTTATTTATGATAATTAAATGTATTCAGTTTGTAAATAAACAACACAGATACATGATTACTGTCTTATATCATTTTGTAGAATTAGTAAGTCTCCTATACATATTGTTTTTGGTTTTCTTTTCTACAGCTGTGTCAGAACGAGCTCAGGCTATGGACAAAATTTCTCAGTTATTGATCACTTATCATGACAGTACCCGAGATGTACAATATACTCTTCAGCGACTGGAAGATAAGTTGGTTTCACTGGATGGTCTGAGTGATGTTGTCCTGTTAGATAGGTTAAAGGTATTTACATAATAATCAATGAAATGTTGTTATTTTGGACATGTTGTGCCGTTAAAGTTATGCCAAAGAGCATATTAAAAAAGGACATTACGTTCTTGAGTAGAATTAAGGTATTTTATATTATTTAGCTAAAAAATAAATGGTATGATAGCCTAATGATACAGTTGTTTAAGAAGTAAATGCTCTTTTACTAAAGTATAAGTAAATCACAAGAATGTTCTTAACTGTTATAAACAAATGATTTTCTTTCTTCATAAAAGTCACAGAGATTGATTTTCAAATAAACAAACACAGATATTAAACACTACTGGGTAACACAGATAAAGAATTAGTTGTTATTGTTGATTTAACAAAACTTGTTTTCAAAGGTCCTTCTAGAAGAATCTAAAGACCTTCACCAACAGCTTGACCAGGTCCAAAATTCTGCTAAACACTTGATATCAAATGCTAGTCCAGACACAGACACTTCACACATATCTAAGGAAGTGAACAATTTGGAGAATCACCACAAGAATTTGGTAGAGACTCTAGGAAAACGATGCACCAAGTTGCAGTTTGCTGCAAACATCCTTTCTAGTTTTGTGGTTAGTAGAAACTATTTTCATGCTAATGTTGTTATGGAAACTGTTATTTTCATATTATATTATTTAATACAGAATTTTATGCACTTTATTAGAGAGTCTATAATTTTATAAATTCTATGATAATATCTACATTATATATGACATGAAAATGAAATATGTCGTTATGCATCTGTCAGCTGCTTTTGATAAATAGTAAATTTTGTGTGTGCTGAATGATTTCTGAATAAATACATACACACACGCACACACACACTCACAAAAAAAATGAATTTTAGCTTTTCAATCATAAAATAAAATATTAGAATCCACAAGACATAAATATTAATCAGAATTTATATACACTGTGTCACATGAATATCCACTGATCTGAATTATTGTTCTTTCTATGCAGGACAAAGAAAAGAAGGTCCAGCAAAACATAAGGTCTTACGAAAAAGAATTAGATAACATGGCTCCTGTTGCTCGAGTGATCACCACCATTCAAACTCAGATTGCAGAAATTACAGTATGAAAATGTTTTTTTCTATTCAATATTTAAAACTGAATTTTTTTATCGTAGTAGAACTTATATTGTTTTTCTTATTGTATTCAGTGAACTTTTTGTGAGATTGGTCTCCAACTGGCTTACCAATTTTTAAAAGGGTTGATGTTTATTAGAAACTCAGTTGTAGAAAAATTTATATCTTATGAATAAAAACTATTATTTCAGTAAGATGTTAAGTACACTTGAAAAAAATGAATTTACACAAGTTGAATATAAAAACTTGGAAAGATCTTGACTGACAGTTCTCTTTGCAGAGTACACATCATCATCATTCATCATCAATCCTTTCCAGACCTCAAATGATCTAGGACAGCTATGAAGCTCTCCACTGTGTTTAGTTTTCTGCCCATTCATCGTCAAGTCTTTATTTCTCATATCCCTCTCTACTGTTCCATGCCAAGTATCTTTCAGTCTTCTCCTGTGCTTTCTTCCAAATGCTATTCTCCTTCATTCTAAGAACATACCCATAGTATCTCCATCTATACAACTTGATTTTTTCTATGATTGATAGTTGTCCACTCCTCTCTGTTAACTTCTCAATCTAGACTAAATTTCCTCTAATCTTTTCCATCTCTCATATCATTAAAGCAAAAGAGCCATGCTATTAAACAACTTAACCTTTAACTCAGTAGATAAACTGGCATTTTTCCATGTTCCATTCAGTTTTCTAAAATCGGTTCCTGCATTTTCCAATCCTGTCCTTACTTCTTATACAAGTCATTTGTCTTTAATCTCATCATCTTTGTCGTACCAGTGTTCATAGCTACACCAACCTTCTGACCTTCAAGTTCCAGTGCTTCAGTCATTCTAGTCATTATTTGTGTTTTGGCACAATAAAAATAAATCATCAGCATATTCAAAATCTATCAAAATTGTCATTTAACCATTCAATATCACCATTTGTATGATCAACTTTCTCCGTAACCAAGTCCATAAAAATATTGAATAACCCAATATCACCCTGCTTAACTCCAGTTCTAACCTCGAACCATTCTGTATTATCTTGACTGATACCTCACACAACTTTCACATCCTTCATATAGCATACTTATCACATTAGTTTTCTCTTAGCATCAAAGTTTACTCCATATTCATTGTCTATGTAAAGAGTTGAAGGCCTTTTTAAAACCAATAGAATTCAACACTAGGGGTTTTTGCCATTCCTCACATTGCTCAATGATGTTTCTCACAACAAAGATCTAGTCAACACATTTTCTACCAGCTCTGAAACTGCGTATTGCTCTCTCAAGAAAGCTTCTATGGCATCTTTCATCCTTTTCATCAAAGTCATCCTCAGAACCTTTCCGGAACAGATAATAATGTCATTCCCTTCTAGTAATTAAACAATGACAAATTTCTTTTTTTAAGTATTTTGAAAGTGATTCCTTTTTCCTACAATCAGCTTTCCAATTCCTAGACAAACTTAATCAGATCTTTTCTTTCAATGACTTCAGCATTTCTCAATTTCAACATATCTTGTCATTTCCTAGACTTTTGTTATTATTAATTCAGTTAACTGCCTCAACAATTTCTTCTTCATCTATTGATGTTATATCTGTAGGTGGCTCTTCATATAATGCTTCTTAGCCAAAATCATTTAAATATTCTTCTTCATCTATTGATGTTATATCTGTAGGTGGCTCTTCATATAATGCTTCTTAGCCAAAATCATTTAAATATTCTTCTTCATCTATTGATGTTATATCTGTAGGTGGCTCTTCATATAATGCTTCTTAGCCAAAATCATTTAAATATTCTTCTTCATCTATTGATGTTATATCTGTAGGTGGCTTTTCATATAATGCTTCTTAGCCAAAATCATTTAAATATTCTTCTTCATCTATTGATGTTATATCTGTAG